TAAAACAATTTTTTTCTTGATTCTTGAAATGTAAATTTAAAAAAATGTCCGTTGGTTTATTTTTACATTTCGATATAATTAAAAGAGAACATATTGTCTTCATTTAATTAACAACATGTCTTAATTATTCTAACCAACTAAAATCCGTATTATTTCTGTCCGCCATATAGAGTTAAGTTCTTTCATGTTCTTAAGAAAAATACTAAAATGTAATTATATCACTTACTTTCCGTCTTTTAAATAAGTCTGGTATTGATAGAGAAATAGCTATAACAAATAGAATCTGTTGCCGAATTTATGTTACTATTTAAGAAAAAAACATCATAAAAAGTTAAATAAGTTCAATTAAGCATAGGTACATTTTAAAAAAATCGCTTCAATTTATTTCGAAGATCATCTATAGAAACTTAAAGAGAAAAGCATATATTTTTGCTAAATTTAGTTTTCTTTATCATTACTATAACACGTTAATATAAAATTCTTAAAAGGTGTGGACTTTCATATATCAATTATATATTTACAAACAAATATTATAAATAGCTTCGAATACCCTACTGTCTATATGTCTATATATGTGAGCTATTTGATGAACTATTTCAGATTTCTAAGCCTGTGCGTGCTTCGAGACGTCGGGTTAAATCTAAATTGGTTCTAAATCTAAAGGCAAGATACGATCGACGTAGCTTGGTACATGTTTCAACCATCATCAATCAATTAGTTCATTGATGTGTTGAAAAGCTAACGTCGAATTTCTGTGACCCTCACCATAGTGGCGAATATGTTAGAAAAAAAAAATAGGAAAAATGGGGACTGCCGGCAAAAGTGAAAACATATAAATTGGGAATGACTGTGGTTTTTTTTAAATTAATTATATGTAGTAAGAATAGTTAAAATTTCATAATAATTCATATGATGATATACTCATAGTTTATTTATTTAGGAAAAATACTAAAAATCGCTCAACGCGGGTAAAGAAGTTTTCACTTCAAAAGTCAAGCAGAGCTAAGTTTGAAAATAATTTTAAATACAATATTAAATACAAATATAATAATACAATTTTGATATAACTAGTGGCTCACTTTCACTTTGGGCTTTACTACACCTACATTTTCCAATAACTTTTTGCAATATAATAATACTCAATGGAGCTACTTGATTTCCACAAGTATATCACTCACCGGCACAATTTTTTTTCTATAAATAAAAAAGTCTCCATTCGTTGCATAAACTAGTGTTTAAACAATACAATCACACTTTGTCTTTATAATATTAGTAAGGACAGACTTACTCTTATTTCTGACTCTTTACTCTAACCTTACGCCGAAGTGAGAATAAAACAACCCGTTTATTCTTTAGCATATTATTTCACTTGACTTATCATTTATTTGAAATAATCATGTTAAATTAAACGAACTTTTTGCATATATATAGGTAACAAACACTGTAACTTCAGCTCACTTCAGGAAAATACACTGATCTCCTTTAACATAATAATCTTTTTCATCTTACAAATGTTCCAGCTTCACATATTTAAATTAAAGATTGCAGATTGGGTTAAGGCTTTTTTAAGAATTCTTATTCAAACTGAATACAGTTTTTGGTGCTGTCATCTCTATAAGCTTGACAAATATATATATCATTCGACTGCGACTCTACATTTAGAAGAGTCGAATGATAAATCAATAGATAAAAAAAGGCTTGAGTATGTTACGAGTTAAAATAATTTCAATATATCAGTCCGAAAATGTATAGGAAATATCCAAATCATAAAGTAACGAAGAAACCACAAATTATCAAGATTATTATAAAAATAAAAAAATAGAGATATATATTAAGTAAATTTGGGTTACTTGTTAAAACAAACCAGCTCTTTAAAATGATATTTGGGAATGTAAATTAATTTTGTCAGTAAAGTTTTTATGAAAATCATCCTAATTAGGAAAGACAAAAGACAAAGGTGGAAAGTTTTGTAACTTTTATGACAATACTGACCTTGTTTACGGATGAGAGACTACTTTCAATATTCAAGAAAATACTTCATATTAGCATAATTGAATTTTTTTTTAATGATATACAAAGTTTTCAATCATGTTTAACCCGAGCGAAGCAAGGGTGAGTCGCTAGTATATAATAAAAATATTAATTTATGAAATCATTGATTTACAAAAATAATAAATTAAAGTAAAAATAAATCTATATATGATTATGCAATTACATTTTTTATTCCTTTTTCTCCCCTGTTTGTCTTTGTTTCTTTAATTGACGACACATTTGGCTCAGTGACGACACATTTGGCTCAGTTTGTAGTGACCCTACTCGCTGTGCCAGCAGTCACGGGTTCGAGTCCCGCTGGGGGACTCGAACCCGCGACCGCTACAGATTATGATCAGATTTCGACCACTGACAGAACACTATTTTTGTTAAATTGCTAATGAACAAAATGAATGGTTAAATATGTATGAGGTAACACTTTTTTATTTTTTATCTTTAAGTATTTTAATGTTTTACTTTTATCTATTAAAACAATGTATGTTGCGTGTGATCGTTTCAACATGTGTATACAATGCGAGTGTAAAATTTCGCACAACGGAGTTTAACAAATTTAACGGTGGTGCAAATTGATAAGGAAATTGCGTCTTCTCAAATTCAAAGCCAAAAGGTACCACATTTATATCTTCCACATTAAAGGGAACAAGAAAAAAGAATGTATTATAAGTAAAATGTTATGAAAAAAAGTTTGTAATCAACGCCGGATTCAACCTTAGTGCCGCCCTGGGCAATGTAAGTTATCAAATTTATCAAAATTTTGCACAAAATGGTTTCAATAAAGTATTTTTTTTCATTTTTTTGATAAATGCAAAAAATAGTTACTTTTTTTATTATTCATTTTTTGGAAAATTTAAAAACATTTTCGATAACTTTTTTACTTATCCTTCGAATTTAGCCGCCCCTGAAAATTTGCCGCCCTGGGCACTAGCCCCGAGTGCCTCGCCCCTAGGGTAAAATATAAGTATTTTGGACCTCTTGACTGTTTTGGCGGAAGAGCTTTTTAAGTATGGAAAGAATATTTAAATTTTTTGTTGTTTGGTCGTCGAAAATAATATAAATAAAACAAAAAGTTGTATTACGTTGAAGCTTTATATATTAAAGCTTCAACGTAAATATTTTTATACGACCTATATCAATATATTAATATATTTTTTATTATATGACTTTTTATTTGTTTTTATATATAGTCAACACTCAAAAGTAGGTAATATACCAAGCTACACATTTTAGATATAGTAATTTAATAAAGGCGGTGCGGAGAATTTCAAGAAAATTGCCTCTTTTAACTGAAAAATAATTGTAGGCTATTATCATTGCTTCACGGGATGAATTCGCCAAAGTCTGAATAAGAGTAATTATGAAATTATAGAAAATATTATAAATAATGATTGATAATAATGTTTCATATTTATATCTTCTTTTTTGTAAAAAAATCATTGCTTGATAATGATAAACCTTGCCCTAGTTATAATACTAGTATGAGAACTAAGTATTTATTTTAAGGAGGTCGTTTATCGTGTGCTTGGTAAATGTCCATATGTTCTGCAGATGTCATTAACCTTCGACACAGGGCAAGTTGTCAAAATATCAAAAAAAATATTCTAGTTGTGTATAAAATCTTATAAATAAAATATGTAAAGGGTAGCTTTAACTAGTTTTTTCAATGTGAACCCAGGCAATTTTCACAAAACATATAAATCTAATTAATTTTGTTTTTATTTTGAACGATGTGTATATTCTTAATGAATTTAAATTTCATGTAGCTCTATCTGTTGTCAGTGTCGCTTGATAATGTTAATTATTTATATTAATAAATTTTCCTATGAAATTTCCTAAATATAGACTACATTTAAAAGATTCATAAAACTCTCTCAAAAATTCAATGGATTTTGACTATTTTTATATGTATAGGTATGCTTGTTAACCTAACAAGGTCCATATTGCTTGCTGAACTGGTAGTATCGTTAGTTAAGTTACAGATGCTATTAGTTAGTTTAGTATAACAGTGTTATACTAACTTACAGCCTTCCTTCCTTATTTACTTACTCAATCTATACTAATATTATAAGCTCGAAAGCTTGTAAGAATGTATGTATGAATGTATGTTTGTTACTCTTTCACGCAAAAAGTACTGAGTATATTTTGATGAAACTTTACAATAATATAGCTCATTCATCAGAATGACACAGACTACTTTTTATTCCGAAATGCACGGTTCCCGCGGGATAGAATTGTTTTCGTTTTTCTAGAGGTGAACCTGAGCGAAGCGAGGGTGAGCCGCTAGTATTTAATAAGAATAATGTAATAATATATTTTTGTTCTTCGTATAATATTAGAGCAATGGATTAAGAGAAAGCTTAATTTGCTTTTCGGTCTCAGTTGTTTCTATAAAATATTAATATATTGGAAGTAATACTGAACTGCACGTGGAAGTACTTAGTCGTTCGCTACGGGTATTTTTAAATTTTATGATGTTTAATGAGAACTTGTTAATGAGAACGTTCTTAATTTTTTTGCTAAATTTAATTAATTGAGGGTAGAGCAAAGGCAATCTGTAAGATATTTAATTAAAAAGAAAAACAACTGTTTCACCAAATAAAAGCTTATCGGTGTAAAAAAATCTGGTGAGATCCAGCATGTACTTAAGTATATTTTTGTTGCATCTTGTTATGAGGTGATGTTAATTTCCTCGTGTCTGACTTTAGCGAGAACTTCAAGTTTATCGTCTCGAAAGTAATAGCTAAGTTTATTTATAGCATACCTCACTTTAATCACGGTAACCTTTACAAGTTAATACCAACAGAATTTGGTCTGGGTTTGCTAGTTAAAGTAGATGTTTACCTATATTATACAATACTCGCATATACTTAACTACTTATATAAAATTAATTAAAAAAAGCAATTTTCTTTTACCAACCATTTGAACTTATAAATAATTTATTTCTTCACAGAATCACGCTTGGAAACTGCATGGGGATGGGGAAGAGACCGTACAGTCCTCCTTGGTGGGGTCAGCTAGCTTGGTTCATGGTTTTCGCCATTATGCTTCTACTGGCTGTGATTGGAAACACGTTAGTAATATGGATTGTTCTAGGTTTGTATAAATCATGTGTCACTTTTATTTTAGCTAATATTGAAATATGTATTATTCACGAAAATTGTGAAAAATATAGTAAATTACGAAAAAACAAAATGGCCGTTAAAAGTGCGTAAGATAATAATATTATTTTAAAAGTAGAAAACTCTAGGAGTATTAATAAGTTGTGCCATATAAAAGGATGCACAAAGCTGCACCACATGCACCTTTTATTAAGTCTTTGTCTAAAGAAAGTTTCAATGTGGAATTTTTATCAGTCATGTCAAGCGAGAAAATAACCAGATTACTCATATTACCATGCAATCTTGCGAGTAATTTGTAATATCGAGCTTCTTCTTTTTATAGTATAATTTTAAGTGTACATTTATAAAAGCGTATTACTTTTTAAAGATTATGTGACACTTTTGCTTAGTCTTGTCAAGCGGGAAAATAACTTCTACTGAAGTTATATTAACATGCAACCTTGCAAGTGTTTCATATCAAAGATTTTGAAGTGACTAAGTTTTCTTTGCGAAAATATATACCTACTTAGTGAAAATTTCAGTTTATTTTAATAAAATTACATTTCTTATTTCAACCAGGCCTAACTTAAGTTTGTCTCTAGGGTAAGAGATAAAATAGCGCTGTAATGCCATATAAACTCGGGTTTTTATTACGCGGGTCTAATAAAGGGATTTGAGAAAGGCGTGAAATTCTTATATTAATTTGATATTGTTAAAAAATATGCCTAGACATATGCATTGTTTAGATCGTAACGCCGCATAGGTAGATAGATATCTAATTAGCTGACTGGTGTTAATTAGTATGGTAATTGGAGTAATTTCTGATATTGGCAGTAGGTAATGCTTTTTTATAATTCATTGCAAGGGGGTCTTTAGCTATCTTATTTAGCTATATGAAAATCGTATGTTTCACTATTAGAAACAAAAATATGAGTTACACATAATCGGGCAAAGTTAGTTCGCACAAGATCAAAATTATATATTCATATTGAACGTTTAATTTCTTTTACTGTCTAAAAATTATTCAAACTACGATGGAGCAACTAGTTTTTAGAATTTTATTCAAAGAGACTTTGACACTTGTTTCATCATCAAAAATAGATTGAATACAGTATTTGCTTCGTGAAATTTTAAAATTGAAACTGGTTGGTTGAAAACTAACTTAGAATATTTTTTGGGATCAAATTGATAAATGGCAAAAGCCAATAGGGATGAAGTCGTTTCTTTAACACGAGTACGTGTTCGCGTTCCAAAATACAAGATTACAAAAACTACCCTGGCACATATGCAACTTCAAGTAATTTTCCTCATTCCGTTGTTTCTGCTCGTTTAGCCTCTTTTTTCTAGTAAATACTTATAGCTATGATATAGTTATATTGTAAGGTAGTGGTAGCCTAGAGGTGACGCGCTCGCTTTGGAAATAATGTGAAGCGGGTTCAAATCTCGGGTCTCACACCTCTGATATTATCATGTGTGAATTATTTCCAACATGATTACCACATGTCTAACGGTGAAGGAAAACATGGCGAGGAAACCAGCATGTCTGAGAGAACCTAGCAAGTTTTCGAAAGATATGCAGTCCACCAACCCGCACTTGGCCAGCGTGGTGGACTCCCTCTTGGAGTAAAGGGAGGCCCGAGCTCAGTAGTGGGACAGTAAAAAAGGACTTCATAGAAAGTATGAAGTTTCATTAAATTGAAATATTTACTTTATATATTTATGTATAATAAACCTATGAAATAAAAGAAGCAAATGTCTATTATAGTCACAACGAAGTTGATATAAAAGATCATAAATATATTATGTAAATATATTATAATTTACATTTTCTGAAATGTACGAATATTTAATATTTAAAATAAAACTCTCTTCTCGGATCTTTTCATGGATTTATGTTTATTTTTGGTTCCCGACATTTTAAATACCTTAAAGTAATCATGATTGTAAATCAAATGAAATCATAATAAATCCGCGAAAAAATCAGAAAAGATAGTTTTATGTAAATGTACTTAAATATTTTTAGCGACATTTCTTATTAATAAAAATCTTGCCAACTTAAAGTTCCAACATAAGCAAATTGTCACTGTAAAAGATTTAGCTCTTTAATAAACCAATTTATCTTCTTTTATTAATTTATCTTAACCAATTTATATATATTTACTATTCGAAGAACTGAGCGGGGATTTGTTTGTTATTAGCTCACCGACGGATGCGGACAGTGACAAACTGCTTCCTAGTGAACCTGGCTGTGGCTGACCTACTTATGGCGACCTTGAATGGGGCACCGAACTTTGTGTTTTTGGTCACAGCGCATTGGCCATTCGGTTCTGTTACCTGTACTGCAAGCAACTTTACTGCAAATCTGACTGTTTCTGCTGGAGTATTTACGCTCGTTGCTATTACTGTTGATAGGTAAGTTTAAAAGATTAAATTAATTTTTAGCCTTTATATAATTATCATGATGTCTTCCAATCCAATTTCGGTTACGGGCAGCTTATCTCACTGATACTACTAGTATAGTATTACGTATATGATCTGTGTTAGAATTACTTGAAACTTGGTATTAATGCTCTTCAATAAAATTAAATAAATACGTGTTGTAGCATTTTTCAAAATTCATCCTGTAAGGGAGTAAAATGGAGGATGAAAGTTTGTATGAAACTACCTTTTCAGAGATTTTTTGTAGTTTTAGCGAGAGCGAAACCGCGGGTTCTGCTAGTATGTATATAAATTTTCTACCAAATGAAAATTAATTTGTCAGGTCATTATTTTCTGCTTCCGTAAGTAAAATACAAACAAATTGTATTCCATACTTCGCATTTTTGCTAATGATCCAAGATCCCAGAAATCTCTTACGTCTTTTGAGCAAAAATTAAAATTTGATGATTAATAGCCTAATGCAGTTAAGAACATATGCATACTTGCTAAGTTCCAAGCGGGTCGATTTACAAGCAGCGTATGCCAAGAGTTAAAGCAATAAAATAAACCTTCCTAACCCGGGTTAGACTGTAAAAACAACATATTGTATGTTACGTTTATAGAATACTAGCAGAACCCGCGGCTTCGCTTGCGCTAAAACTACAAAAAATCCCTAATAAGGTAGTTACATTCAAATTTTCACCCCCCTTATAGGATGAATTTCAAAAAATGCTAAAGCACGTATTTATTTAATATTTTGTTAAAAAAGTATTAATACCAAGTTTCAAGTAATTCTGATAATAAAAATTTTTTTTGGATTGTATTATAACGTGTTTTCCCATGGTAAATAGATAATCTCCCGCGGTAAAAAGTGGCCTATGTCATTCTCCAGACTTCCAACGTCCACACAAAAAATCACGCCAATCCGCCTTTCCGTTTCGACGTGAAAGAAGGACAAACAAACAAACACATTTTCACATTTATAATATTATAGTATGGATTGTAAAAAAACAATATTTAATATTGTTATTTTGTTATAAGGTATTCTATAAAAATCACGAATAGTTGTAGTCTTCATCTTCTAGCCTACCATATTTGTCATCGTTAGTGTAACTGTCTTTAGTTAATTACTATACAACTTATGAATAACTTGATGGATTAAAGGCATTCCCCCTAGAATGACTTTTCACAAAAATGTGCTGTACTTGTTTTTGCAATATACATACGTTATATCGATATATTGTAATAATAAATTGTGACATATATACTCATATTGTACCTTTATAAAACCATTGGCCGAGGAAACGTACGTCCTTAAATGCGTTTGATGGATACTCACTGGACTTGTCAAGCAAATTAAATTAATTTTAACGCCTACTTCGTATGTGATTGCTGTAATAAAAATGCGACATTGTTGCTTCGACGACAACGTGCTTTTTTGTGATTGAAAGTATGTCGTGTGAACATCGTATTATTTCTATGTATATATTCAAATACTGTTAAAGACGTAAGGTGTATAAAAAAGTGTTAGTGTTAGCACAGATCACATAATACTGTACTGTGCGTAATAACTTGAATACTAAAACAGAAATTATAAAAACCTAAACGATAAGATGATCGAGGTAATTTTATTATATAGAAACGGCAGAAGTAGTAAAAATGCTTTTAAACTGATTAATTGCAACCTATTATTTTAATAAATGTTCTTAAAAGTTTTTTCTTAATCTCTGTATAATAGGTATAAGCCTGTTTTTCGTTTAGTTAATGAAGCTATAATTTTGTAGAAGTTGCTCTGAAACCTTTAATTGTAGAAAATACTACACCTTTATTTTACTCCTGGGCTTTATTACAATTTAGACTTTTTTTATAAAAAAAAATAAAAGAGAATATTTTTTTTTTATAAACCACTCTTACATATTGTCTGCGTTTATTGAATACTGCAGCGCCTAATAAAAGATTGACTGTTTTATTTATTTTAGTAAATGGTGGAGACGGTGTTGTTACTCTTAAAATATGCGTTGTTTGTCGTTGAATGCTTTTAAGTTATACTTTGACTGGGATAAATTTACCTAGAATGTACGTGTCTCGGAATATAAAAGAGTTGCCGTGTATTAAAGTCTTATAAAGATTCAGTTATAATACAAAATATACTTTAAATAGTTGAGACGTAAACTGTTATGCATATTCTTAACAATCAGCGTTCAACATTCATGCAATCCATACTAATATTATAAATGTGAAAGTGTGTTTGTTTGTTTTTTTGTTCTTCTTTCACGTCAAAACAGAGCGACAGATTGGCGTGATTTTTTGTGTAGAGATAGTTGGAGGGCTAGGGAGTGACATAGGCTACTTTCTACCCCGGGAAATTATCTAATTCCCACGGGAAAACACGTTGTAATACAACCAAAAATATATTTATGACCAAAATTAATTTTTTAATGCTCTTAATTATTAATTAATGCTCTTCAATATAATTAAATAAATACTTCAATACAATTAAATAAACACTTGTTATAGCATTTTTGGAAATTCAATCAAAATTTTCAAATCAAATTTGTAGTGTACTCGCGAAGCCAAGAAACGCACAGGGAGGTGGCCCGCTTCGGTGGGCGGTGGGAGGCGGCCTTCTTCGGAGGGCGGTGTACCATGCGGGTTGTTCCTGGTACTTCTCTGATAGCAGAGTGGACCGTGGAGCAACCCCATGGTTGTTGTGGTCTGCTTCGGCAGACCTGCCGTCGGGGCGTCGTAGTTGAATGCATAAGCGATCCTGCGACGCCCCATTAAGACGGGGGAAGGTTTTGTTGGGTTTTAGTGGGTAGTACTGGCTTCGCCGGTGAGTCCCACACTTCGTGCGTAAATGCATTTCCCAACGTTAAAAAAAAAAGGGGATAAATTTTGTATTAAACCTCCTTTTTGGACTTTTTTTGTAGTTTTAGCGCTAGTGAAGCCGCGGGTTCTTCTAGTACTATATATGTATGTACGAGTATGTACAGAATAATTTTTAGTAAGCGAGGGGGGAGACCCTGTAACTGTGTAGATCATCCAACTATCTCCACACATAAAATCACGCCAATCCGTCACTCCGTTTTGACGTGAAAGAAGGACAAACAAACAAACACACTTTCACATTTATAATATTAAGTATGGATGTATATAGTACTTGAAAGTGGAATCATGGCCGTCAGAAAGAAATGGAAGACGATTATAGTGGCACAATATTACACTCATTTAATACAAGTCAATGCGAACCTGAATTACATAATGCATGACATAAAAGTGATGGTTATAGTGCTGGCTGTAGGAACGTAAAAAGGCTTATTTCTTTCGTTATGTAAGTCGATCCTAAAAAGGTCGCTATACTTTTAACTAATGTTAGTGAATTTTCTGTCACTACTTCTTGGTCTATAATGTGAATTTATGTACAATTTTGATCTTTTCTTTTATGAAGTATCATAATTATTAACATTATTTTAAATTGCTCTGAAAAGCAAGTATGAAAGTAGAATAAGCGTGTACGACACCCACGTGTAAGCTTACAATCTCTACAAAAATAAAGACCACTATTGTACAAAAGAAAATGCTGCAGGCTCGTTAGCTAGGATCTGATGAGGTCTCACAATCTTCGTATATATGTTTTATTATGTAAAGCTATACTTTACATATCCTATGTACGATACTATATACATATATTACGCATTCTTGCTGGCTATGTTAAATTGACTTCCCATAGGACTATGAGACTGAGGAAACAATAAATGTATTCGTAGTAGTAACCGAAAATCTGTTAAGCTATCTTCTATCAAAAACATACTTGTATTGTTTGTTTTAGACGCCATAGGTCCAAAAAATTTTTTCACGTGATTGAGTAAAGTCTGTGAGTGATTGAATCTTTTTTAATTATATTATATTGATAATAACATTAAATTAGGTAAAAAAAGAAAAATAAGAATGAAAACCAAATTAAATCTTATAAAATTTAACTCAAAATAGAAATATAATCATTAATTAAGTATAGATCTAGTATCTATAGTATCAGTATAGTATAATAAAATTTTACTTTTTTAAACAGGTACGTGGCAATAGTAAAGCCTCTGCAGCACAGGCTGAGTCGCAGCGTAGCACGTGCAGCTTTGTTTACAGTGTGGTTCGCTAGTGCACTTCTCGCTTTGCCCAGTCTACTTTATTCTGATACGTACACAAAAAAGTAAGTACTCAATACTCATATATATATTTGACGACAAGTTTGGCTCAGTTTTTAGTGACCCTACTTGGTGTGCCCGCGGTCGCGGGTTTGAGTCCCGCTGGGGGCATTTCATTGGTGTGATGAGCACGAACGCTTGTACTCCAGTCATGGGTGTTTAAATTTATAATATGTATGTATTTAAAGTTATATATGTGTAGTGTATCAACTATCTGATATCCATAACAGAAGCCTCGTTCGTAGCTTACCATGGAACTAGATGGTGGTGTGTATTAATGTCGAAACTTATACATATGTATAAAATTACTAGCATTTGCCCGTGGCATTGTACCTGAAAGTTGTAACGTCATCTATACATATAATAAATTGCAAATCTGTACATGAAATATTTTTTAAAAACAATAACTGTTACTTATTGTGTACAGAATGTAGATCCCAAAACAATAGTTACTAAACTTTCGTCTATTCTTTTCTATCAATTATTACTAATAGAATAATTATACTTTTAATATGGAAGTAAATATTGTTATTGAAATGTAATAACCTTGTTACAGCGGGGTTATTACAACTCTGAACTCAATATCACTTGCTGCTGGTTTTTTGAAGTATTCTGTGATATAATCTTACGTTGGTCATGTATGTTATAACTAACGGTCTTCGTAATCGATAGAATAAACTTTGTAAAGACTTAAATATTTAATCTGATTTATTCGTCACGTCACACAAGTGAAGTGATTTGTTTGGCTTACCCTTTTCATGTTAAAAGGTGAATATTTAACGTATCATAATAATTGGATGAAACATATTTAATATTGTATTACCTAATAAATCGTAGCTGAATATTAAACAAGTAATAAACTCAATATTAGATAATAATACTTTCTTAGATTTACGCGAATATTTGAAATTTTAAATAAAACTACCCTTTCGGATTTATTTTGATTTTTGATTTCCCAACTTACCATAGATTAAAAAGTAGCCCACATTTTTGAGGTTGTTTCATTGTGAAAAAAAAAGTATTGGTAGGTACTTTTAAAAAAATGGTGACATCGTCAACAATTTAGTTTAGTTTTTGTTTCGTAATATATCGTTATAGTTTAAAATACACACTGTATTTTGTAAATACTGAATTAATTATGGAAATAAAGCTTGGAAATTATGTCACTTGTATGTGTAACGTTACCGCTAATGGATCATTGCATGTTCTTGCATAAATTAAGAGATCCCGCTGTATCGCAGCAGCATCTAAAAATAATTTATACTATTTTTATAATATTACCCATGTAAAAGTTTGTATGTTTGCTAATAATCAAGCGGAAATATAAGCCGTTGTAAATATTTGCTTTTGATAAAATTGACTTGCTTTGTTTGTTTGTTTTTTGTTTGTTTGTTTGTTTGTTTGTGTGTAAAATATTCGTGCGTTCATGTGTTCGTTCGATCGTTCGTTCGTTTGATTGTTTTTTTATCCTTCTTTCACGTTGTAACAGAATGACGGATTGGCGTTATTTTTGTGTGGAGATACGAGTAGTTAGAAGGCTGGAGAGTGACTATATCATTTATAGTCTATCTATTATACATTAACCGTTAAAAAGTACCTAGGGATGAACCCGAGCGAAGCGAATGGGTGTCCACTAGTATAATTTTAATTAATATATATTATAATATGAATAGTTATTAACATACAATTACAAATATTTATTTTGCTCTCTAAAATACTCAATATTAGCATAGATAGTTTGAGGTATGTAGTTGCAGAACGCGGTCTTCAGCAACCACTGTATCAGGTTACTTTTAGTTTGAACCTATTGATTCACGAGAACGACCTTTGAAACTTCTTATTGCAAGAAGCTCTTGAGACATGAAATCAATGCCATTATATTGATAAGCAAAATTAAAAATATTATATTTTAGATTTCTTAGAGTCTACACCCTAAAAAACAAATGTGGCGTCGTCCTAAAAAAAACAAACAAAGGACCTCCTTTGTTAAATTTCTAAAAGGTAAAAGAAAAACATTGAAATTTTGTTTATAATATTTTTTTAATGAATAGGGTCATCACTCTTTAATTAAGGTGAAAATAATACTTTTAGGTATCTACGCTTAAATGCATAAGGATTTCTATGTCTTATTGAATGCAGTAACTTTCGCCGTTGACGTCTCTCTTCAGTTCATGTATAGTCTAAATATAACTCTTACTTTAAATTTGAACTCCTTTCATTTCTATTGTTTCAACGATATAGAAACCGCACAACTATGTATCTAACTTACTATTTATTATTAGGAGCAGGTACTTAATCCAGTGTATGTTTTCTATATGTACTAGTGTTCGCATAGAGGTCGAGATACTAAAAAAACTGCTTCCAATTTTTTCATTGATAACTCGTCAGTAGCTAATAAACAAAAAAAAACAATAGAAAATCGGTTGACAAAGAGAGAAAAAGGTACTAAACTGCTTATCTTTTATTTTATTTAGCTTTATTGTGAATCGATTCCTAGAAGTTTATTTATTTAATGTATAAGTTATATCTCAAGGGTGGTTTCTAAATGGTGCTTTGGCGTACACATATTAAAAATGTTTTAGAAGTTTCTTTTTATAAAATAATTTATGTATAGGTAAATACAATTTTTTTGCAAAAAATAAAAATCGACTTTAACTAACGGTTTTTTTTATTTAGAACCTAATCAAATATTTTCGAAATCGATGCCAGCCGATGCAAAGTAAATCTAATATAATTTGATACGTAAAATACATCACAAATTGATGTATATTATTTTTACTATATTCGAGTTCATTCCTAATCATATTTACCTATTAGATATTTAAAAAATATATTTTTCGTTATTTTTTTAAAAAACCGCTCGACCTATTTCGATAAAATTTAAAGGGGATCACCTGGAAAGTATACCCTTCGAAAAAAAAAACCAAATCGGTTCAGGCGTATTCGAGTAATCTGTGAACATAAAAAAAGGTTCTGACGAATTGAGAACCTGCTCCTTTTTGGAAGTCGGTTTATAAAAATAGAAAAATTATTACATAACACAAAGTATCGGATATAAAGTTACTCCTTGTGTGCCATGCCTTGTCTTAAAACGAATCTTGGTAAAGACTAAAATTAGATGTGTTACACATTAACACATTATGTTAATAATTAACGCGATAGGATTCATTTCCTTGAATAGCAAAGTAAGTTATTTTGGGCAAGTTTAGTCAGTATATTTTAATTTTGGCACGAGGAGACGTGAAAACTATCTCATTCGACTAAAATTTTTGTAAACTTATTTAAGTCGTTACGCAAGTCAAAGGAAATACATATTTCATTACATTCATTTTCATTATATTGGAGAGGTAATTATGACTTGGAGGGACAATTATAATATTCCAGTGTCTGTACTTTAGAGTAAATTAATCTTTTTATAACTAGCTTGAAGATATTTCAAGCTGTGGCAAATATCCAGCAATGATTCAAGTCGTTTATAGACTAAAATTAGCTGTTATTGTCTTAGATTGTGAGAACGATTAAATTCTGAGTTCAGCCTTCAGCATAAGCAGTACTTAGCATAAGAGAATTTTTTATTTCAATTAAAAATGGCAGTTAGCAATTTTCGTTTCATTTGCACATCCCTTAAAATTTGTCGCTTATACAATTGCTTTTTGCATATAAAATTTATTTGATACATACTGTGTTTTAATATAACAACTAATTAAAAACCTATTTATAATTTCATTTGCTACTTTTAAGCCATAGAAATATAACACAAAGGATATTTTAATATATATTAAAGCTTAATTTTAGTTATAATCTTCAAAAATAATTTCTTTAAAGGAGCTTATAAAGTTCGTTAGTGTTATACCACGTGCTTATATAAATAGCTGTTAAGATTGATAGTTAAGTGAGTTAAATTACTGGTAATTTAGTTTTATTTTTATACCTAAATTCTGTTAGCGGTACACGTACGTGTAATTTTATTTTATTTGCAGTTACTAGAAAGGTATAATCTCTCCCTTATAAAAGTTCGCATTACTGAGACCTAAAGCTTTAACTTTATCCACACAATGAATTAAGATTAAAACTATTTGCATTTTGTTATTTTTGCATATATTTTTTTGCTTACATAGTTTTACTTTTCAAATGTTGATTATTATGGATTTTTGAACTTAATAATGATGAGAAAATTTCACTCGGGCTTATTCTTAGAAAAATCTCAAGATATTTATCCGGTTTCTATAATCGTGAATTATAATTTTGACGAATATACGAGTCACTTTGGAAGTATTTTTTGCCAACAACACTGTTCTAGATTGCTTTTTCCTTTCAAAACAACTCCTTTTTAAAAACATAACGAAAGGAATTAATATTTGTTACGGAAAAAGGAAAAATATGGTTGGGCATTTTGTTTTTTAATACGTTTGTTAATTTATATTTTAAAGTAGCATAATTAATTATTAACTATCTTTTATAGTTAATCTAAATATTTTAAATGTCATGATGTTGACAAGTGAATTTTTACGATAGTACCTAACAATAGTATTACTAATCCTACTAATATTATAGTCGCAAAATTTTGTGAGGATGGATGGATGTTTGTTACACTTTCACGCAAAACGATTGAACGGATTTTGATGAAACTTTACATTAATATAGCTCATCAGAGGAACACATACAAAGGCTATAATTCTTTTAAAGATATAATAGTACATAATTGAACTACTTACGTAGCTGCGGGAAAACGCTAGTTACTATCATTTTGTTCTCTTTCTTTATTATATTTGCAAATTATTAATTAAACTATCACCACCATTTACTTATAAAAATGATTTATGAGTAGTATTATGTGAGGAGAAGCAAATATCTGTTAAATGGATCAAATATTTGAATCAATTTTAAGTGTACCCTGAATGATTGATTGCTACATGAACACTTATGTCGTGTTTCCATTGCATGTAGCTAATATGTTTTTGCGCTTTCAATTTACTTTTAAAGTATATATAGCGACTTCGAGCTTTTGTATTTTCATTAACTTCTCATTCGTTAATTTTATGTTTATTGGATATGTGAAAACGATTTAAATTAAAGCTAATTGTATTAAAATCACAATATTATCCTTAAAGGAATATAATAAACTAGTATTGCCCGCGGCTCCGCTCGCGTTCAGATGACCAAAAACCAAATTTTTAGGTTTTACATATAGTATACTCTTACATTGCAGTTTCTGTATTTTTTCTCAAAAATGAGATTTTCCCGCGGTAAAAAGTATCCTATAAGTTGACCCGGATAACCAGCTATCACCATAGGTACCAAATTTCATCAAAATCTTTTTAAATAAAACTATCTTTTCGGATTTATTTGCGGATATGGAATTTTCAATTATAAAACTAATTAAAATTATAAAAATGTTTAAAGTTAAAAAATATAGTAAGGTAATTGGTGCAATTTTCATTTTGTTATTTGTGGGTAGGCTGTCTGTAACAACTATATCTTCGAGACATCTAACACCTCAGTCTCTCCCGTGACCATGATTGCTGTAAAGCATTCGAAACGTCGGGAACCAAAAATCCAAATAAATCCGCGAAAAAATCCGAAAAGATAGTTTTATTTAAAATAGCAAATATTCGCGTAAATCTAAGAAAGTATTCATCAAAATCTCTTCAGTGGTTTTTCTGTGATGCGGTAACAGACAGACAGACAAAAATTCTAAAAACTATAGATTCGGCCTCTGTATCGATAATAATGTATATAACAATAAGATTTTCCAAAAAATATCTAATGTACGGATTCGGCTTATTTACAATTTTATTATATGTGTAGATAAATAATATTATAATAAATAATAAATTCCAGAGGAGCGTTCAAAGTGTATTTTAATATTTACTTCAACGGAACTTTTATTTGGACCATAAGTAAAAAAAACTTAGTATAATAAAAGATAATAAGCCTTATTTTTACAATAAAACATAACATATTATATAACCCTCACCTCAAAGCTCTATCCGCCAATGAGCGTCAACTTAAAATCAGTTAATCTGTTTTTTTTTTCTATTTTCTATCCCGCGGCATTTTTTGTATCTAATTAATAAATACAGAAATGTTTAAATTACTTTGTAGCAGCAAACAGAGAACGTTGTGACAAACGTTGCGTAAATAATGTATATTACAAGAATAACATAAAATTATACATTTAAAATAAATTGACTTAAGTTTGTCATTTACTTGTTTAATGATACGTTTTTTAAAAGAAATAAAAGAACATTAAGAATTCAATTTTCCTTTGAAAACTAGTTTTATTTTTATATATCTAATTGAAACTAGTTATTGCCTAAGAGTTCTAGCTAATGCATGTAACATCTAAAAGCTTATAACCTACATATAGAAGGTTTCTACAATAAAAAACAAAATTGATTTTTTTTATTAAAACAAACAAACAAATATTATATTAATTAGTATAAGATTATAGATTTTTAAATAGATTATTAGTATACATGGATATAAAGGATATATTTTATAAACACAACAGACAATACAGATAGCAAAAAGAAAAATCTTGTAATCCAAAAACAAAGACCGCCATTACCTCTCATGGTCTTTGTCTTGCAAATGCTTTAAAGAAAATACGGCTTTATATTATTAATAATGTCTTTCAAAGGTACATAAACGGGGAGAGAGAGATATGTTTCATAAAATGGCCGGATGGCAGCTACCCCACTTCGAGAACGGATTACTGGTAAGCTGGTTATTAATGATTTTGAAGCTTTTTAGTGAAACTTATAAGGATTATGCGATTTTACATATTGGAAATAAGTATTTGTAATTTATTTTGCTTATAAAATAGTTACTACATCTGTCTATTTACTTTAAATGTTATTATATTATTATGGGAGACCGAGATTCGTTCGGCGTTTTGAGAAGTTAAGTTTTTTTTTCGGAAAAGATGTAAAAATTGCTTTTTTTTTCAGGAGCGACACCTAATCTAAATACCAAGTTTGATTCAAATCTTTAGAGCCGTTGCCGAGACGCACGAAATATGTAAATTCATATATGTACATAATTGCTCATTTATATTATAATACATATACTATAGAAAATATTGATATTTTGTTATAAATAAAACTGCAAGCTTTTTTGAAGTTTTTTGTCTCGAATATAATGAAAGTAAGCGTAAGTTCAGCTAATTAAGAAACCAATAGTATTCTACAATTTTATCGTTTTCTTAAACTACTTTGAAACCTATAATTGTATCAACGATCACTGATATCTTATGAGAGTCGATTCAAGAATTTTATGCATTTTTTAAAAGCGCTCGCATTTGAATTGCAAAATGTTCTCGCAGTCAATATTGGTTACTTTAATATAAAGTTTTATATTCTATTCAGTGCGCAGTTTTATTGCTTCTTATTCAGTTTTGAAGAGCAACAGTAAAGTGGAATACATAGTTTGTCAATGCCTTTTCGCCGACATCCTATACGATTCCGTTCAGAGCATGTTTTTTATATAGAGCAGATCCACTAATATGTGGTTTTATTACTATGGATAAAAACGGAAGAAGCTGTGCTCTTATAATTAGAAGATATTGTGTAAAAGATTAAGTTATTTAATAACTATTTAAATATTTGTTGCAGCTATAACCTGGTATTTTTGGCGGTTACATATGTACTACCCATGTCTGTGATGGTGTGGGCTTACGCACAAATGAGTGCTGCACTACGGGGAAGGACAATAGGAGAATGCACTCATCATCAAATGCAAGTTGTAAGAGCTAAACGAAAGGTAAGGCTTTTTAAGAACCTTTTAATATGAGCTTTTTAGGTTGAAAACAAAAGATCATAGATGAGAAGATCGTATAATTAAAATTAGAAAATAATTCTTCTATAGAAAATAAACTTCATTTTAGAACAATAGTAATTTTTATTTTATTCTTTTTATTTCTTAATTTTATTTATTTTTTATTAATTAAGTCATAAGACGATTCATCTTGTAACTAAAATTTTAATAAGAGGTGAATCGTTTCCTAATATTCTTATTATAAGCTAAAAATAGATTTCTATTTTAAATTAAGCCATTTAGCCATTTAGCTAAAAATAGCTTTTAATTCTACCTTCAATTTATTTATTGCGATTTGCGAATAATTTTCATGTACTTAAGAGGTCTCTATAAAGCGTCTTTGTTAAAATTTAGAAACCAATATTCATTGTTAATTGTCAAACCTTTTAATTAATTTATTGTGCTGTTAACAAAACAAAAAAAATCATTACAGTTTATGTATAAAAAGGAAATATTCTAAACATATTTGTCGAATAGTAGAAAATGATTTGTTGGGATGAAACTTATCGTACAATGAATATTTTGGTGCGATATGTATTTGTTAGTGATTACCTTTTTTATGTATGTCTGTATAAATATTTTCATGATCGCGTAAAGGATCCATAAATTTTTACATCTGAATGTTCTGAGCTTATTAAAAGATGTACGGCTCGGTAAACGTAAATTTTTAAATTTGCGTAGGCTTCCCTGTGTATGGTAATAACACTGTAAATTAATATTCTGGTAGTACATACGTCTCATTTATATTTTAGTACTAGCGACTTGCTCTCGCTTCGCTCGCGTGCGTTTCGAAAAGAATTAGAACCCTAATTCTTTTTCTGAAATAAAACAAACCTAAGCTTCTCGTTATAACAGCAGCTGTCTGCCATTAAAATTCCCGTAAAAATTAGTCCAGCCGTCCAGTTAGCCTAGATTAGCTGGTACAAAAAGACAGACAGATAGACCAACATTTAAAAAAATGTGTTTTTCTTCTTTATACTTTATATAATTTCATATGGATTTACTAAAAAGCTTTAATTAAAGCTTTAAGCTTTTAAAGATTCATTCTTTATTCTATATAATTTTTCGTCCATCAACTACAATAATAACAGTAGTTATTATTTAGAGGACTGTATGCATTTTGTAAGCCGATATCATAAGGTAATGTCATAAGATATAGGCAGTAGCTGGATGATAGATATATATATATATATATATATATATATATATATATATATATATATATATAACTTACCAGCTACTCTACATTCAGAACTTTATATTTCTTATTGTTTAGCTAACTAAAAAAATAAAATCTTAGCAAATATTTTCATTATAAATAGTTAAGATGTAGCAATTACGTATAAAAATCTTCGAAGCTTGTGACATTTTATCAATTTTCACGTAAAATACTCAGGTGATAACATGAAAGATGATATTACTTCTTACAAAGTCGTAGAATTATATTTTATACAATCTATTATGAACTTGACAGATAAGAAATATAAATTGCTTCAGTGTAAATTTTTAGTTTTGGTATTATTAAAATAAATACAGATATAAGAATAACCTATTTACATTTCTATTTTATAATAAGCTTAAAGTGTTTTATTTAATTACATATGTGTTTAATTTATTATTTAAATATGAAAAGAATCTTGTTCAATATTGTAAATCCATCCCTGTTATTTTAAAGCACATTTGAATAGCAATATTCATATGATAAAAGCTTTTTCAACAATTGAAAGGGAAAATATTTCATCAATGTAAAGGAAAATCTATATAACTCCGTTTTACAATGACTACAAACAAATACCTGTTCGTCTTTCAGTGGCAAGTGACAATGATCGACAAGCGTAAAATAGTGTTTGCTAGGTACCGTAGAATTCAATTCTATTTCAAGTTTCGCTTAATAAACGCTTTACAAGTACAATACTGAATATATACGCCTCTTTATTTTTGTATGTGTTGACTGTTGAGTATAATAAAAAGATTTTAATAAAATTAGATATCTCAAATTGTTTTTTACCCAATTGTGGCGAAGCCCAAAGGAGGGTACATATGTGTTTGACCTGTATGTATGTTTTTCATGTATATATATACATCCAGTATATAATATATGATTGCAATTACCGTGTTGCATGATTGAAATTGGTGATTTTGTACAAACAGTGACGATATGCCACTTTCTACCATTTAATTATTTAATTTATTTTCTCTATTCATGAGTAAAAGCATAAAATCGATAACTGAATAAAATTTCCCTCAATGGGATTTACGTGACAAAAGCTTTTAGCGCAGACTCAATAAGCACAAGTAGTCTAATGCAGCCTGATGTCAATGCAACAGCGTATTTATTTTTTGTATTGTTTTCATAAAGCTTTTATAAAAGTTTTGGATACGTCAATTTTATTTTATTTATATATTAGTGACCCACCCTCGATTCGCTTGGGTTCGTTCCTGCTTACATTTTAACGTTTAGTATAGATTTCTCAGAGATGAGATATTTTTCTGCAGTAAAAAGTATATGTTGACTCGAATAACCAGCTATCATCACACCAAATCTCATCAAAATCTGTCCAGTGGTTTTCTCGTGATGTGGTCACAGATAGACAAAAATTCTAAAAACTACAGATTCGGCAACTACACATATCGATTATAATGACTATTTCATTAAGATTTTCCAAAAAATATTGAATGTACAGATTCAACTCAGAATTTTATTGTCTGTATAGGTTATACCGTTGCCTCTTTTACTTACTTTAGTATACATATTTTCTGCTTTTAGTGAAATATATTATGTACTTAAATTATTTGCTGTTTAAATTATTATATCAAAATGTGTAAAGACATAGATAGCCCTGCAACCTATATGCCAATTAAAAATTCGCATTAAGGTTTTGTTCTTGTTTTCTTATATACTGCTTAGAATGTAAGAAAAAAGTATTTTAATAAATGTTATGGGGTAAATGAAGCTCTATGTATTATGGTTACGTAAAGATACTTTAAAATGCATGAAGTGAACCCGCATTGGTTAGTCTTTAAGAATAGAAGCCTCTATCGATAACTTGTTCGAAATATTGTATATATAGAAGACATTGTTATAGAAAAATATATTGTTTAGTAAATATTATGTATGTTTTAAAAAAGTAAGATATCTAATCGAATTAAAATAAAAAGTAAAAAAAAATAGATTTATGTGAATGTGCTATGGAAGCAGAATTCTCTATGCCACTTTTACATGGAATGCAGAAGATGAACCTAGAATAATATTAATTCCTAATAAGATTAGTCGTAGATAGAAATAAAAATGTATAAGTTATACAAATAATTGTCCACAAAATATCCAAGTGTTCTAATTAAAACACAGATAATCGGCGCCATCGCTCTCTCCTCTTTGAGCATAAGAAGTAATTTATATCTTTTGTAGAAAGAACATTTTTCGCTTGAACGATTTAGTCGAACGCCCAATGTTTGATCATTTTTCACTCCCGAAGTCTGTGAGCTACGTGCTGTCCCTATGCAAGTAAGATTATTTTATTTCATAGGAAAGTGTTCAAAACAAATTAAAGCTAAAATAATCCAAACAAAATATATACAACACGTATGCCTACGTATGTATTTATATAATAAGCATTTTTAAATTTGCTAATTTCTTTTAGGCGCACCAGTTGAGCAGTTTGGTTCGCTAATTTCACGTGAAATTAAGACGATAATTTATATAAATGGGTATGATAAGCGATATATATATATATATATATATATATATATATATATATATATATATATAATTTGTATGCCTTCAAAATTAGCCGTCATTTGATGTGTTCATGTTGTGGTGATTGTTTAGCAATATACCAACTTAGAGTTCTTTAGTGGGTGCACTAATGCGCATGCCCGATAGCTATCAATAGATAATAATAATTATTAATTTGTTAGGGATGTTGTAAGAAAACTCGGGTGCCTTGAAATGTTGTGTCATCAGGTTTCGTTAATATGATCACGTAATAAAATGGCAATTTGTTATCAAAATTACTTGTAACATTTTGTTAGACATAAACTTAAAAAATATGTTTGAGTTTATGCCTAACAAAATGTAAGTTAAACTTGAGTTAATATAATACTGAGAAAATCTAACTCAGGGATACCACACATATAATTTAATCAAAGTTTTTAGGCATGTCGCTCATATAATACGTTTTCACAGGTTGTAAGAATGTTCGTCCTGGTTGTTATGGTGTTTGCGCTTTGCTGGTTGCCCTACCACGCGTACTTTGTTCTGTCGTATCATCATCAGTCACTCGCATCGTCTCCCTTCGCACAGCACATCTATCTCGGCTTCTACTGGCTGGCCATGGCTAATTCCATGTTCAACCCATTGATTTACTATTGGATGAGCAACAAGTAAGTATCTCTACTAACTATATTTTATCATATACATACTCGTATGTAAGTCTTAGAATTGAATGGTGTTTTTCACACTAATCTTAACAATCCTTAATAATGGTAAAATACTTTCATGACAACTTAAAATGCTTATAAAATTTTCATTTATAAAATTCGTGATAAACGTGATGAGATTCTGGTACGATTTTTACCTTAGCGTCATGTAATGCGTAGTAAGACTGGTCAAATTTTAATTGCAATGTCAATTTGCCTTAAGAATTGGAAGAGTTATATTCGGTATAGTGTATATTGATTCGATTGAAGATTTTTGGCAATTTTATTCTTACCTAACTGTGCAATGACAATAACATTTTTATTCTAGTAATGTCTAGAAATAGTAATATCTATATGCGTGACAAAAATATTAATTCTTCAAATTTATTATTCAAATAAAGTTTTGCGTAGAATAAAACCATTAAATATTACTGAGAGCATTTTACGCGAAAATTAAACAAATTAGAGACAGGTGTTAGTAATATGTGAATTTGTATTCAAATTTATCTTAACACAGTATAAAGGCCAAGAGTTAATACTCTTCAGACATATGTATTCACGATATATCACTGCACACCGAGCTTGATTTTACGAACAAATAGATGCACACTGTACCACATTCTGTATATTGATTTATGGCCTTAGACCGATTAATTTCCTTACATAACCGAAGTTGATATATCTTAATTGGTTCTGAAAATATTTTTATCCTAATTAAAATGAAATAGTCAAAATTATTCATTGGTTATTTAAAAAAAATGTGTTTGAGGCATTTTTAGAATACCTATACTAGACTATTGATCCGTACTCATCTTATTTATTTAGTTTTGATGGTCGTATATCCATAGATGTTCCGGAATAAAAATCTATACTTATATTATAAATGTGAAAGTTTGTGAGTATGGATGTATGGATGTTTGTTACTCTTTTATGCCAGAACGGGTGAACGGATCTAGATGAAATTTGACACAGAGATAGATTATGGTCTCCTTTCTTTTTATCTTGAAAAAATATATGGTTCCCGTGGGATAGGTTTGTTTTTATCTTATATATGTACATATGTTCTTCCAGCCGATTTCGGTCACGGCGGCCAATCTCTCTGAGTGTAGCCAGCAGCGTAAGAGACACTCGTACTATAGTCACAAGTGTACGGGCAGATACAAGTGCACTGTCTATTCAATTTACTCTCACATTCATTTGTGAGAGTTCAGCTTCGATCAACAATACTACTAGATATTGGAAAGTGAGCATATATATCGATTAGTTCTATTAAAACACTGCCAACGTAAACACGTTCACAATGCCGCAATATATATTTAAAAGATGCAAAAAAATATGCGCGAAGAAGGAATTTTTCAGACGGAGTGTCTTATTTTCGGTAAATACATGTAGATTAAGTCAATATTTTAAGATTTAACCTACGAAATAATATAAAAATGAAATTTTGAACAATTTTAAATCCGCTAACAACGGTGGCCCAGGTCGGCCAATATACCCGCCAATACAAAGAAGCAAACAAAAACAATACATAACGATTTAGCTCACAAAGCAAAAACGGGAAAAAGTGCTTTATGTATTTATATGGTTGATTTTACAATAAAGAATATAAAACTTACGAAATGATCATAAGTGTATGATGATAATTCGAAGATTTGTGACTTTATTACAAGGTGCTATGGTGTAGATTAGCTTTAAAATAAAACTATCATATGACTTTGTCTTGGTTCGTTCGTATATACTGTATAAGTGCATATTCGCGCGAACAGAATTTAGCTTTCATTTTGTATGTGTCACGTTCATCTAATAATATTGTTGATCGAAAGAGTTCAGGCGCAAAAATAGTCTGTCACTTTCCGGTCCTAAAATATGTATGGAAAACATAACATCGATCCGTTTGTCAACGTTTGTAGGATTCTTGTTATTTTGTGAAGGAAAAGCCAACAAAAATACCTTGGGAAACTATATTCATAATATTTTTACTGGTTGAGTTATATTTCTTTTCTTTCTCAACTAATCATCATCATAATCAATCTACAAATACTTTTTTCTTGGACAGTGTCATCGATACTGTCAGAACTAAAATATTGTTATATAAAATATACAATCAAACTGAAACTAATTATTACATGAGAACGATGTATTGGCAAACTTTACATACTGTACGTATATAGGTGTGGTTCGTCTGTTCGTCAAGGTTTGACTAATCAAGGACATGCAAAACTTTGTAAATTTTTAGATATTTTTCATCTTTGTTTCTTTTTTATTATATTATTGAGTCCAAGGCTAGCTCATTAAACACAAATGTAAATTTAATTCTATATCAACATTAAACTGCGAATATAAGTGAAAAAAGGTCAAAGGTCGCAAAGTTTCCTCCCATTCTAGTAACTATGGCTAAAATATAAATTGATTTCAGAACGTATTAATTTATATACTAAGTCAACACAAAAGAAGACAGTTTATTTTGATAAAGTTATTTTTTCAAGAGAACTTAAGTTAGTAAATAGTTCTTAATTAAAAAGATCCAAAGAAATCTTTCATTTCATTTCAATTTATTCGTTATAGAATACAAATATGAAAGATATTACTAAATGTTTAATTAAAATAAGTTGTACTTAAAAGCATAAAATACTGTAACTTGATTAAATAAGAGAAGCTTTAATACTTATAACATATTTTTGTATCATTCAAATTTCAAAAGCATGTTACGATATTTAATTAAATATTTTATAACAACCCTTCTTAATTACCAAAATGAGCGTAAATCTTCACTTGAGCGGATAAAGTCAGTGTAATTCAATAGTTTACATGTCAGTGCCTTTCTAATAAAGCATTCGTGTTTTGTTTTTTCATTAACTTGCTCGTTGTTTCATTTGATTGGGAAAGTCGACAGCAAATATTGGAAAGGTGATTGTTCTGTATCTTAATTAGAATTTATTTATTTAGTTGTAACGACCTACAGTATATTAAAATGTTGTTTTAATTTTACACTCATGTATTTATTTTCACTTTAAATATATATCGTTTGAGTATTTTTTTTATTAATTTAAAATACACAGTTTCTATACAGTAGTACTAGCTACTCACCCGGACACCAGTTATCATCATACCAAACATCACAATTTGTCTTGTGTTGTGCTTTTTCCGTGATGCGGTAACAGACAGACAGGCAGACACTGAGACAGACCGAAATTATAAAAACTATAGATTCGGCTTCTATATCTATAATAATGTCTATTTCAATAAGATTTTTAAAAAAATATTTAATGTACAGATTCGGCTTAGTTAGAACTTTATTATACTTATATATATTTTCGAATAGGAAACAGAACATTTAATTTAAATACCTAAAGATATTTTTAGGTAACAATAGTTTTAAAATATATATGTAAGTATGATTGTTATATATATATTTATTTATTGGTTTTCATACAGATTTCGGATATACTTCAAAGTAGTGCTGTGCTGGTGTCGGTCAGTGAAGACTGCGACGCCAAACAACTTGAAAAAGCAGTTTGAAATGAACAAATCGTTTTCGGGTAAGTACTTACTAACTACATACTAAGTAAAGTTTATTACTAGCGACTTCAAGTGAGTTCTTTTTGATTTTTGGGATGGATCTGTAGCCGTATGTTATACTAGCTACTAGAACCACCAAGGCAAAAGCAAGTCTGGCTACTATAGGATCATTAACACCTCCAGGTAAATTTCTAAGAAATCTATTGTTAACTGTAACGCCGGCGTGTCCGCGGTCGTAGAGGGATTAATAAGTACAAAACGTTTTCTGTGCATAATAACGTATTTCTATTTTAATCACATCGTATTTAAATCGTTATTTGTAAAACTTTTGTCCCAAGGAAGAGATTAAAGTGTTTTGGAACGAGCTCAATGGACATATTTAATGTAATAAAATGCTTGAACACGCTAGCAGAGGTTAGTTGATAATTCGCTTTATAACTTTTGGTTTAATTAAATTATGGATTAAAAGTATTTTGTCCTTGTAAGTTTCTCATAATGTGTTTCTGCATATTGACAGAGTAGTGCTATTCTGTAAGACCTTATGAAAAATGATAACTGAATCCGAGAACTTACTCTAAGTAAGTACTTGTATGTTGTAAATAAGTGAAGTATTTAGAACCAAAAACACTTATAGGCCTGTAAGTGTTTGTCGAGTGGTTTATTTTTTTGCATACTCGCATCAAAAAAAATTTACAGATTTGTTTTTGTTAAGATGCTTTTTATTAATACACAGAATCAAAGCACGTACAACGGACCAAATGCGAGTCTTAGTACGGAAAACGAGTTCGCTTTACATCTACATTTTAGTACTCATGATACTCACGTAGATTATTATTTCCGGATTATTTACAGCCAAGCTATTTTTATAATTACATAGCGCTAGGAAAATTAAGGGAAATTTAACTATTTATTTATTTATTTATTTAAAAGTGGCTTATAACTAATTAGAACTGATTTAAATTATGTAAAGTAGTCATTCGTATGATAAAGCTATTATTTTACTACTAATCTATGTATTATTGACTACTAGCGGACCCGACAGACGTTGTCCTGTCTACACGTCTTTAATTTGAAAATTTCAAACTTTTTTTAATAATTTTTTTGATGAAAATTATTATTCAAATTGTGAATCTAAACCATTCCCAGATCCCCTTGAACACACACAAAAAAATTCATCAAAATCGGTCCAGTCGTTTGAGAGAAGTTCAGTGACATACATACTCACAGAAGAATTATATATATAAAGATTTAAATAAAGTATAATGGTCGATGTTATTAGGGTGGGTATTGTATTTGGGGTTTGGGGAGGATTAAACTAGCAGATACAATCGAACAGATTGAATCGGTTTGAATCGAAATCCCATATAAATGTATATTAAAACTAGTATAAGTAAGTCAAGATCAACAATGTATATAATTATCTTTTTTTCCCTGCCCATTTCCCAAATTACTTGGGGTTGGCGTAATACGCCCATACTGCGTATTGGTTTTGGCAAAATTTTCCGACCGGCCGCCTGCCTGACGTCAACCCTCTTTGGGAATGCTGTTGTTCGCCCGCCATCGAGCAAGGGACTTAAGGTGTGATGTCCCTAGATCATTTAGTCTTCTTCTGCGACACCTACTGGAGGAGATGGGGTAGCCCTATTCTTAGCCTGGCGCTACACGGCTAAAAATATATGTAATTATATAAACACAAGTATGTACGTTCTACATTCACAATAGAATAATTATTTTAATAGCGATTTTTAATATATTTATTTAAAAAATAGTTCAAGTTTAAACTCAAAATAAACTCACAAGTTACGCTATTTAATTTAAGTCAAGTAAAATAATATTTAAATGGAAAAATACAATTATAACAAATAAAATAATATATCGCGTAAAGCCTAGGGTCCAAGCTGATAATATTTAATTTTGAATTTCAAAAAACATAAAGAGTTCAATTTGGCTATAACGTACGAGTATACTATTTTAGAAGCATATAACTGTTACCGAGTCACTCTTGGTTTGAATAGAAAAATTACTTAGAAACAGATACATATCTCTATTTTAAATATATGTACTTATTCAGAGATTTTACACTTTCATGTGTTTTACAAAAAAAAAATCTTCATATCTCACCCACGTGTATGGAGTGCCATTCCATTTTTTATTTTTTGTAAGTTCATTCAGAATTGTCAGAAACTACCTATCTACCAAATTTCAACCATATATTCGTAGTTGTCTGTTCTAGTATGAACAGAGGCATCATGAAATTATATGTGTTTTGTTACGGATCCCAAAGAGTTTTTAACTTAGAGGCAATAAATATTATACATACAGACAAAAGTTTGCTTTTAAATTTGTTCATTGCTGATAGTAAATCTCTGTCTTTTAATAAAAGATATAAAGTTGGGTTTTCTTGGCAACATTAAAGCAATTCATACTATTCTGGATTGTACTAGCCTTGAATATTAGTTTTATGGAGCTAAAATATTTTGGCTAAAAGCATAAGTTAAAATAATAAACATAATGTGAAACAGATATAATATAAAAATATATAGTCAGAATTGTATATAAAAAACTGAAATTAAAAGGTTATATAATAAAATTAACTATATATGTATTATCAACTTTCCGTTACAACAAATACATACAAGTTCTTTACATACATAGAAGTTTGTTATATATATTTTACAATTATTTTTTACCAAACAATATAATTTTTTTAAAACGCACGCATATTTTAGTCTTGCAATTATTATTTTTTTTATTGTGCAAGCTAGTCTTCAAATATTCTGGACTACTACAGGAAAATAGAGGTCCAAAACACAATTTTTATAATATAGTAGGGTCAAAATTTGAAATATACTTAGGTTTTCCTTTATTCTGTGCCATTTTCGCCATAGTGCTCCAACTGTATCGTTAACAACAGAGGTTTAACTGAACACATAAACTCCAGTGAAGCTATTACTTAGGTTTGTAAGAAACAAATGATACCATAAATGATCCTATTGGACTAATTCCAAACGATTACTACTAAGATATTAATTGTTGTAATGACTAGTATTTACCCAAAGATATTGTTGGATATAACTTTAATTTTTTTTAAATCTTCTTAAACAGAATACCAATGACTCACGCTCACTTCGCTCGTGTGCCTATTGTATAAATGAAGCCTACGTGTTACTCCAGGTCGTAGTCTATTTCCCCCCCAACGTGCTTTCACCTTGTCGTGGTGGGGGGGCTCAGTAGTGCCCGGCAACCCAACCGGGTGCGAAGCCAAGAAATGCACAGGGAGGTGGCCCACTTCGGTAGGCGGTGGGAGGTGGCCCTCTACGGAGGGCAGTGTACCATGCGGGTTGCTCCTGGTACTTCTCTGATAGCAGAGTGGACTGTGGAGCAACCCCGTGGTTGTTGTGGTCTGCTTCGGCAGACCTGCCGTCGGGGCGTCGTAGTTGAATGCGTAAGCGATCCTGCGACGCCCCATTAAGACGGGGGAAGGTTTTGTTGGGTTTTAGTGGGTAGTACTGGCTTTGCCGGTGAGTCCCACACCTCGTGCGTAAATGCATTTCCCAACGTTAAAAAAAAAAAAAAAAGGTCGTAGTCTATTTGTGTACTCCAAATCCTTCTAGTACTATATACATTTTCAATAGTGGCCCGATCGATAAATTAAATGCTCTAATTTCTGCACGTACGGAAGTACATACAATGTATTGTGATAAGATTCCCTGTCTTTATAATATAGATAGTCTACATTTTCTGTCTTTCAGTATTCACAATACAAGCATATTTTGTTATTTCAATATACCCTTGAAAACTAAGCCATAAATGCAAAACGGGCGGATTGCCATATTACTAGGGTCTAGCACTAATATATTTATTTTCACCATTCATCGTTTAAAGAGAATTCGGCAAATGCCTACTGGATTAATACAAATTAAAGTTGTATAATAAATAATAATTCAGTCTGTCATTGATATTTTAATACTATAAAACTGTAAGTCTTATTCAGAGTTTATTATCCTAAATTATGCTATTTAAACTGGTTATGAATAAAAGTTAATAAGTATTGAACTTTCGAATAAATTGCTATAATATAATGCATTTCGGTAAATACTTCATTAAGCTTGTGACCTATAATGTATATATATAAAAGAAAGTCGTGTTAGTTACAATATTTATAACTCAAGAACTGCTGAACCGATTTGGCAGAAAATTAGTGGGGAGGTAGTTTAGAACCAGGAGACGGATATAGGATACTTTTTATCCCGTTCGATTGCGTGTCCGTTGTGACGTGACATAAAACTCAAGAATGGCTAGATATTTGAATTTTTGGATTTCTTAGTTAGTCAGGAATAGGATAATAAATATTAAAACATCAGAAAAATTTACGAAATAAAAATTTGTATGGCTAACGCTGGCTAATAACTATTTATATCTATTTAAAACGTACCTAGCGACGAACCCGAGCGAAGCGAGGGTGAGCCGCTAGTTATAATATAAAATAATTAAGTTTTCTATTAAATACTGTGTATTGACGAGTATGATTGCATGATTGAAATTTTGTAACTCAATTGCTTTTTTGTATATATATACAATATTTTTTAATAAAGTCCATTCGATTCCTGGCCAGTTCGGAGTATAAGCACATAATTTTTCTTTCGCTCATTTCCCACTTATATAAGCAGCAGCTCAAACTGCTGTAGGTAAATCCTAAAACGTTCCAATAAAATATAAGTTTTGGCATATTTGAATGGCACACGTCCAAATGGTTCTGAAAAATCCTTTATTTCAGACTTCTAATATTTTCAACCGACTTCAAAAAGGAGGAGGTTCTCAATTCGACTGTATGTTTTTTTTTATGTTTGTTACCTCAGAACGAAAACGAAAATGACGGCATTTATTAACCGATTTGGACAATTTTTGTTTTGTTTGAAAGGGTATACTTCCAGATTGGTCCCATTTAAATTTCAAAAAAAAAATACCACCCCTAAGGGTGGAAAAACAACTAATGATGAATTTAACCTACTTCTAATTGTAATATTGACTTAAAACTTTGCAAGTATTTCTATTTCCGTTGATAGTACAGTGGTTCGGTGTTGTTGACCTGATCTGATGGCAAGTCCAGAAGGTGGATAGGTGGAACTCTTCAACGGCTAATAGTAGATACTTTGAGTTTGGGCTTATTTTGTTTGATTCGACAAGCCTAACACGTTAGAATTCTTACTTTGCTACTACTGTCTACACTAAAAAGGGAAAAATAAAAACTTTTTAACAAAAAAATAAAAACCGACTTCAAACAAAAGCACTAAAAAGTAAAAAAATAACTGATTGGTAGTTTTCATTTACTATACATACCTAATCAAATATTTTCGAAGTCGGTGTGCTTTGGCTAAGTAATTAAAGCCTACCTATTAAATACATACATACCTAATCAAATATTTTCGAAATCGGTGCCAGCCCATACAAAGCAAAGCACACCGACTTCGAAAATATTTGATTAGGTATGTAAAGTAAATGAAAACTACCAATCAGTTATTTTTTACTTTTTAGTGCTTTTGTTTGAAGTCGGTTTTTATTTTTTTGTTAAAAAGTTTTTATCTCCATACATAGACATGAAATGGAAAAAAAATTCTACCATTGACTTGGCAAATTTTCGGATTTGCTGAAAATCTTTAACTGTAGTTCATGGTTCACGATAATGGATGTTTACAGGAAGGAAGAAATGTTTTGAATGGTTATCATAATTATGTTTATAATAACCATTTAAATCCATTTTAAACATCAATTATATTATTAACATTCTCAAAAGTAAAGATCAATTGAACATAGCAAAACTCTTATGTAATATATTTAAACGAGCAATTCTTGTATAAGTATTTACTTATTTATACCGGCGATCTCGGAAACGACTGTAACGCGTTCGAAAGTTGGTATGTGGAGTTTTCGGGGGCGGAAAATCGATCTAGATTATTCTTATGTCTGGGAAAACGCGTGTTTTCGAGTTTTCATACGGTTTTCTTTCGCATTATTTCACGTAAAATATGGTCGCTAATTTCGCACGCTCGGGCATAAGTATCGTGGTCAAGCGGCCAAGGAGCAAAACTGACAACTTACTATATTATAATATGTACCTACATCGAGAAATGTTATAACTTTTAGTTGTTTAGATAAGTTAGTACAGATAACAATTATTATTACAAGCAAAGAGCTCGAAGTTATACTCTAACACAATATTTTAATAAAAACAATTGCAAAGTTACAAATTTAGAGCTTATGTTTGAAACAACAAATAATTTTGTCTGCTATGGAAAATTGCCTTATAATTTATTACTTTTAGTTGTATTTCTGGGAGGCACTTAGTAATTCTTATTCTTTAGAAAATATCACAAACGTGTTCATGATTTCAATACTGTAATGTACTGTAGTACCTATTGTGTATTGATAAATACTAAGTTTCGTTTATTTCTTTATAGTTAATTTTGTAAAAATGAAACATAAATGTAATAAGATTTCCCATTCAACTGACAAGGTGAAATATACGTTTTTTAAGTGTTTTATATTTTTCTATCTTTCATTGTTAACTGTCTGTGAGTTCAAAATAATTTATTTTAAAATATTTTATTAAGCTAAAACTGATTTGAAAGGAAAAAAATAACTTTACATTCTAGGGTGTTTTGTATCATTGTATCAGGCAAACGAAGTTGCAGGGAAAACCCGTATGTAATAAATAATAAAACACGCACGTAATAAATATTTAAAGTATACTAATATTATATTATATACAAATATTGAGAGCTGTACTAATATTATAGATGCCAAAGTAACTCTATATCGGCAGGTAAATTGATTTTTATTATATTTAGGGTTTGCACTAGAGATGTATAATGTGTGATTTTAAAAAATATATAAAATATTATCTATCCGGGGATAGAGTCAAGATCCGCGAATCCGCGATACCAATACGGATCTCAGCTTTCGTACTAAATCGGTGCTTACCTTAATTACACAATGTGTTTTGACATGAACGGTGCTTTAAACATTTAATTATATTTTTGAAAAAGTTACTATTTTAGCTATATACAATTATTTCAATCAGTATCATCATCATCATATCATTTTAAAATAAAAAATGTGTGTGTGCTTATTTGCGCACATATTTTTCCTATTCTTCTAAGTCAGTCCGCCATCTTTGAGAGTCCGCCATATTGGATTTACAATGATATCACTTTGCTTATTGTGTTTCGCTCATCAAGTCTTTTCATTTGATGCCCTCACATCATATGGGCCACTATGGAAATGATAAATCGCCATTTTGTAATGTTCGCCATATTGGATTAAAAATGGCGGCACTTAAGTAATCGTACGAGCGAGCATGAGATCCAAACATGTTGTTTATATAGAAATAAGATAATATATATCTTGAAAATAGACATCACACTATACTAAAGGGAGATTTAACGATTAACTTAAACATTGTAGTCTAAATCTGTCGCATCGTAAAAAAATTACACTCATCATTCATTTTCATAACGCTCCGAAAGAAGTATAACTCCAAAAAGAAGAGGTTTCTTCTAACTAACTATACTGCTTGTCTAAAAGCACCGTGTATGTATGATCGTCACACGGATAAAAAGCTTTGTAATAAGGTTTAATCGCAATTCTGTACTAGAAATCTTAAGTAATAACCATAGCAACGGTAAGATGGGTTTTTATATATATTTTTTAATACTTATTACTAACAATTTTTCCTTGAAAAAGGCTTATCTTGTTCTTATTGTCAATTTTATTGACATCATATATTACAAGCGACGAGCGACGAAGCATGATCAATGGCCTTAAAAAATATTACATTTATAACCTAGCGATTTAGCCTCGCTTCGCTCGGGTGCCTTTTATTTTGTCGAGCCCTAATTCTTTTATTAAAATAAAAATAGCCTTAGTTATAACATCAACTATCTGCCAGTAAAAATCCTGTCAAAATCAGCCTAGCGATATCGGAGATCAGCCGGAACAAAAATACAGACAGACGAACAGCCAAAAAATTTTAAAATTGTTTTCTTATAAGTACTGTATATAATTTCATATGCATTTGGTAAATAGCTGTTATTTGACATTACAAACACTTTAATTTTATTTATCTATGTAAATAAAAATCTAAATGATCAATTTCTATAGATTTTCTATAGAGTGTAAACATGTTTTAATAATCTTTACTTTTTTTAACTTATTGTTATTACTCATAAAATAATGTAAATATATTTTTATGTAAATTAGAAGCTTTTAAAACACGTTGTTTTATTTGCCTGTTATTTCGTACAAACATCTTTGTTCAAACAAAAGGTTTAGAACAAAAACTTTGTGGTGGATCTTGTTGGTACCGCTTTGAGGTAAATTAAAATTATAATTCAGTGGTATATAAAGCGCAGTCCAGTCCTTAACAACTTACAAGTTATAATGATAATGAACATATATCATTTAATGTGTTTTATTTCTAAAATGCTGCTGAGCTCGTTAACGCTCAGTTATACTGGATTATTTATTTATATGTATATATATATATATATATATAAATAATCGTAACGAAACGTAACGAAAGTGCAATTATTAACTTTATTTGAATAGCGACGCTGTATACACGTCGCCAAATAAAAGTATACATTTCGTAAATCATTCTTCATTTGAGAAAAGGGAATATTTACAATATTTTAGTGGTGTTTCCCATATTTTCAATGATATAGATATGTATATAATCAAGTAATTGTTTCAGTAAGCCAGAGGCATCGCGACGTATCGTCCTTCAGCCGCGCATGACAGTCGCGAAGGCGGAGCAATTTGTCCCGCTCCTTGCCAGCCAACGGTATCTATTTTTTATATTAATACACCTTATTTTACCTATTCCTTTAATAATTTTTGTCGAAATTGCTTTATAAATCTGTCATTTATTTTGAAGTAGCTATTCATTTGGAGAAATATATCATAGCGTTATAGAAACGATACACTTCTGTTATTAGGAAGATGTGCGTGGTAGAGTCAAAACTGCGAAAGATTTAACCGTGTATCTCTTTCCTTGAATTGTATAAATGTACTTCCAAATAATCGTTCGGTAATTATATAATTAAAGGGAATTCCCTAATACGAAAACATAAATTTCTTCCGCTTTAAATGATCACCAATTATTATTATTTCTGTTATAACTTTGTTAGAATAGGATATTTTTAAAATATATTAGCGCTTACGTTGCATATAAAAGCTATTTGAAAAATAAGCCTTTCTCATTCAATATTCAAGTCAAACCGAAAAATAAAAAATAATCTATAACTCTTGACCGAATTTAACGAGAGAGCTTTTAAAGCTCTTAAAAATATATTCGACTTTGTTGTGATATTTTTTATATAGAATCAATATAATATAGCGTCTGAACTTAAATTATTAGCATACAACACTTTGGGTAGTAGAGTTTCTAGCTTTGAGTATTATTATAAAGAAAACATTAAAACTTTTATGATATTTGAATATTATAATAGATAAGAAATATAATGTATTTTAAGAATATCTCCATGACGTTATAATAAGGCAATATTTTTTACGGACAGATACATCAAACTGTACTTCGGTTCTAACAAATGGAATCGCAGTCAAAAGCAACCCCCGAGACTTCGACATCGATAAAAATTGTCATGTTTGTGAAGATAAGTTATAAGTGCTTATACACAGTTTGTACATAAATTAGTTTATTAAATGACTACAAGTGAATTTTTAATTAAAATTCACTTGTAGACATTTTAAAATTTATGTATTTTTCCATGAAACATTCGTAAGTTTTAAATAATAAATGTTCATATTTGTAAATATTTATTTAACATGTTTATGTGTTTTATGCAAAAGATATAAGTGTTAATTTTTTGGGTGTTATAAATAAAATTTAAAATAGGTATTGATATAGGTATGACCTAATAAGAAAGCCATTATAATGTATGTAAATGAAGAATGTTGTTCCATTGAGTTTAGCTAAGGAGCAATAAGTTTTAGTAACTTCAATGCTAAATTGTGTATGTGTCTTTATTTTTACCAGTTTTTCCTAATCAGAGTAAAACAAATTATGACAATATAATTTATGCCATATCATATTATCATATATTTTAACCTGAATTCTCTAGTCAGTGAAAATCCCATCAAAATTAATTTAACCACAATACTTCCATCGTTGATTTTATTTAAGTTCTTTTTTTCTGATTCAAAATAAAAAAAAATTGCTTATGCTTTAAGCACTTGCGCTAGAACTATCCAACCAGTGAACATCCTATTAACATATGAAGAGATTAGATAGGTCACATACAAACAAATTGATAGAAATATAAATTAGTAGTTCTTTGGAATTTAATATCGTCCAAATACAAATAGCCATATGAACTCAATATTGGGTAACTATATTTAAATAACAGGCAGATTAATTTTATTTATAGATTTAATTTTATCAAGCGGTGTTTCGAGACAATATGTTTATCTATACATATAATAAAATTTGTAACCAAGCCGAATCTGTACATTAAATATTTTTTGGAAAATCTTATTGAAACAAAGATTATTACCGATGCAGAGGTCGAAACTATAGTTTTTAGAATTTTTGTCTGTCTGTCTGTCTGTCGGTATGTTACCGCACCACAAAAAAACCACTGGAGGGATTTTGATGAAATTTGGTATGGTGATAGTTATTCGGGTCAACATATAGAATACTTTTTACCGCGGGAAAATATCTCATTTCTGAGAAAAAATACAAAAACTGCAATGTAAGAGTATACTAATATGTAAAACCTAAGAATTTGGTTTTTGGACATCTGAACGAGGGCGGAGCCGCGGGCAATGCTAGTATCATATATTTGTAACATTATTCTATACACTACACAGTTTATTTACTCCTTTAATTTATAATATTTTTTTGTTGGATTTTGATTTGTTGGATTTGTCTGTGTTCTGAATAGCAGAATAATTATTAAAACAACATAAAAATTCACGAACAATTTTTTTTAACTTGCATGGCTAACGCTGGCTAATAACTATTTACATATATCTATTTAAAATATACCTAGCGACGAACCCGATCGAAGCAAGGGTGAGCCGCTGGTTTTAAATAATTCTATTTGTAAAATGTAAAAATAAATTGTTTTACATAAAGTGTTTCTTAAATGTCCTCACCTAAAATATATCTCTTTAAGAGCCTAGGTAGAAGTCAAAGTTTAAAATGAAATATTTTCCAGGTTATTTGGCTTTTACTTTGACGACTTATGGGACTTTTAAGCCTAAAATTGGAAATGTTCGGTACAAAGGACTAAGTAATATTTAAAGCATATAATGGCAAAAAATACTTATTTTACGATGCAATACGGACATTATAATAATAAATTCTACTTTTTTATATAGATAGCTTGTTTTTTTTCGTATAAAACTCTCTATAACTTAATATTTTATATCACTTTAACGTTTTTATCATGAGAGTACGAAAAATTGTCGAAGTGAACATTATCAAGTTTGATTTCCGATTTCATGATTTTTTAAATTTATTTATTTACGGTCAACTGACGAAATAAACATTAATACATTACAATTGGCAAGTGGCAATGGTAGCCCAGTGGTAACGCGCTCGCTTGGGAACCGAGTGAAGCGGGTTCAAATCCCGGATCTCGGACCTCTGATATTTTCATGTGGGAATCATTTCTAACATGATTACCAGTTTCCTTAAGGTAAAGGAAGACATCGTGAGGAAACCTGCATGTATGACAGAACCTAGCAAGTTTTCGAAATACATGTGAAGTCCGCCAACCCGCACTTGGCCAGCGTAGTGGACTATGGCCTTATCCCCCTGGTATTGAAGGGAGGCCCGTGCCCAGCAGGGAGACCTTAAAAAGGGCTGAATACATACATACATTACAATTATTACATATTTAACTACTTTCAATTTAAATTATATTAATTATTAAATAAGATAAACTAATTTCCCAAAAAGATGGCTTATACAATTTAAGTACATGTTATATATTCACCGGTTTTCAGAGTAGCGATTACGGTAAAGGCTTGCGCCTTTAAAGCTTTTTATTTCAGAATATGTAAGTAAAATTAATATAGATACGTAATTACTAAGATCTATTAATTACAAAGATTCTAGTCTTTTAAATGTACAGAATAAAAACATACTATAATTAATTATTAAATATCCTACCAAAATAAAATATATTTTATGAAACTCTACGGCTATTTTTACTCTTGGTTTTGTTCATCTTTAATAATATAGCTATTTAAGAGGCAGTTAAGTACATAAAAAAGCAACAAACAGTACAATGTCAGTGAAAGTAATGCATAGAAGACAATAGCATAAGAAAAATAAGTTGTATATATTTTAATATTGAATTTTAATTTATTTGTAAATTCTTCATATTATGTATTATGTATTATATCAATTTCTGAAATAAACTCATGTTATGGTTGTTTCGTGTGTTTTATTATACATATATAGTTGAAAGCAAATTAGGAATTAGAATCACTATGAATGAATCCATTAATTAATTTGTTTTTGTTTTTTTGGGAAAAATTATAATATAGATTACATATTTAATGATTTTGTTTAAATTCTATCGTGAAAATTGGTAATACTAATAACCTTTAAACAGCAAAATTAGTATGATTATATAGTGTGCTCTAAGCCTCTAACATATAGAAAAGTACCTACTAAAAATTGGCAAAGTGTAAGTCAACAAGTGGTTTCCACTATTCAATATAGTTTTATTTTATTGCTGAGCGTTGAGACATAATGTACATTGTACATTGTTTAGTACTATGAAATCTCACTTTGTGTTTCTCGTTTATTTCCATTTTCCCAATCCTAATTTTTGTTAGATTTGATAAGGAATTTAGACAATAATGTTACTTCGACTTCAAAATCACCTTAATAGTAGGTAATTATTTCACCCTTATAGTCATTTTTTCTAGAAATCTACGTGGAACCACTCGCAATGAAACCTATTTATGAAAAAAAACAATAATCATGTCATTTCACAATAAACGAATATATGTAGGTACATATATAACGTAAGTAGCGATTCGCCCTCGCTTACGTCTTAACGTTTAATATAGTTTTCTCAGAGATGTGATAATTTCTCGGAGTAAAAAGTATTATACCCAACCCTTTAACCCCCGATTGTATCGATCGATCGTTGACCCGGATAACCAACTATTATCATACGGTCTCGTCTCATGACACGGTCACAGTCAGTCAGACAGACCGACATAAAAATTCTAATACTATAAATTCGGCCTCTGTATCGATAATATTGACTATTTCAATACGATTTTCCAAAAAAATATTTAGTGTACAGATTCGACTCACAACATATGCATAAAACCAGATACAAAGGAATTGTTGAAGCAATTTAAATATATTAGGTATAACTTTATAGAAAATCGGTCAACATTTTAGTAAAACGTGAAAATTAAGTACATAAAAGTTTCCATACCTACCTGCAAACAAGTGTATAAAACAATTCGCATAAACACAGTATGCTAAACCGGGCGTTCACTAAATCCTCCGTATGGCGCAGTTAAATAACAAGCGTGGAGCGAGTGAAATGAAAGAGCAATGTTACTTTTTAACCTACTTCCAAAAAGGAATCAGAAATCCAAAAAGGGTCGGATTCTTTTTTTATGTATGTACCGATTACTCGAAGACGCCTGAACCGATTTGATTTTTTTTTGTTTTGAAGGGTATATATACTTCCCAGGTGGTCGGTCCCATTTAAAATTTATGGAAATCGGTCGAG